GGGGGGGGGGGGGGGGGGGGGGGGGGCACTCCATCCATGATTGGTCATTCTACCAGGGCGGGGGCAGCCAGTTAGAAAACATTTCTGGGACGAACTTACCTCCTTGCGACAACTATTTGGTTCGGACAGCTGTCGCCTCTCGCATGCCGGAATCAACACCGAAGCGATTCCCCGGGAAGGGGCATGAAACAGCGGTCTAGCATCCACGAAGCACGTTGACACGGAGTTAAACCGCTCCGTCGGGCAATACGGCAGAAAATACCATCGGCCCGAACGCCCAAAGCAGGCAGGCAGCAACGTAGCTGACGTGAGGCAAATATTTCATCTTCTGTCCCAGACCGTCGCGGTCCGGTTAAAGCCTTGTTCGGGTTAACTTCTTGAAGAGTGCGGTAAAGCCACAAACTACAGATGCATGCATACTTGGTGGGATGCTGCAAACTAAGTGACGGTGGTTTGTGGTACAAGGTAGATGCGGCGCGTGGTGTGACGTTGCTAGGCTCGGGCTCCGTTCCTGTCTCGCACACCATAGGCAATCAGCGCGAAGAGTCAGTCCTGTACTCCTTTGGAGGGCTGGCCACTACTATTTAAGAGATAGGTCATCAGTGCGAAGATTCCGCCCTTCAATCCTTGGAAGGCTAGCCACTGCTAATGGTTGCCCACCGTCGACAGCGAACGTACAGTCGATTGCGCCACGTCGCGTACTCTTACGCGTGGCCATGAACCTTCCGTGGTACCAACAACTCGATACACCAGGTTGCACGCTCTTGTGCTTGCTCAGGCTCCTTTCCATAGATGATACCAACAATTCAACACCCCAAGTCGCACGCTCGTGTGCGTGTTCAAGGTTCACACATCTGGCACCATCAATCTGTCAGGAAAGGCACCACCAACGCCGCTGTACCTCGTTAAGGCTGGCCAAGACCGCTTCGTCCGATGCATCGATCAGCTCATCGATGACTCTGGCCGGGATTACTGCCTCGTCCTCAAGGGGGGGCTCCGCAGGGGGTGGGAACTCCATACCGTCCTTACCCTCCAGCTCCTCAATGAACGGCTCGTCCGGTAAATAGTGCATCTGGCAGAACGACACAGCACACACAAGCGGCGCCGAGACAGAGGACGTTGCAATAAACAAGAACCAGCCAAGCATGTAACATTACCTAACGCCGGCGACCTGGCGTCGCACAGACGGAACAACAACCAAGCCGTTGTTCTCTTTTGACTTGTGCCGGTGCCCGTAACAGCAGTGCAAAAAAACTTTTGTCGGGCATATCTCGGTGCCATCGAGAGATCCCGCTGATCATATCACGCTGAGAAGCCTATCGGCGATTTTTTTTTTTGTCTTCACTTCATATCAGCGCTCACAGCACTAGTGCCGTTTACTCCAACCCGTGGTTACACAGAGGAGCCCCTCTCTACCCTCCCCTCCTGCGGTACTATCTCTTCGATTTTCAATCATAGCAGAGTTCAGCACGCTCGTCCCTATATGTACACACGAACTAGCGCTGTCCACTAGGCCAGGAGCGGAAGCGAGAGAAAACTCACTTTGCAAGGAAGCTCGCTTACGCCGGGATTCGAAGCCCCGGCCTGACCTCTAGAAGGATTTGAGGATACCAACTAGACCACAGGGGCGACCAGCTACAAAGCCTTCCTAACGCGGTCTCACTAAAAGGTACTTCCCGCATCGAATAGCTGATTGCTGAGCTCTCTGCTCCTGCGATAAGGAGTCGAGAAGCCAGAGCAAGCACCAAGCTAGAAGAACCCCACCGACCCAGCACAGCACACTAACAGCAAAATGCCACCGCTTCCGAAACACCGACACCACTTCCAAGCAGCAGCAGCAGCATCATCGTCATCATCACGTGCACACGTTTCCTTCAATCAACATACGGTGGAGGGCACGCTACACCAAATCTCACCGACATCCGGCTGTTGAGCTCTTCAAGGGTCATGGACCTCAACGCCGTCTCGATGGCATCAGCTAGGACGGGCCACCACGGGTACTCCGGCCACCCCAACTCGTGCTCCATCATGAATGGGTCCTCTTCTTCCTCGCCCCCCCCCCCCCCTTCCCCGACCCGTACCCCCCCCCCCTTGTCCTCGTGCGTCGCCCCAGCGGCCGCCCCTCCCTCCCACCCCCCTCCGCCCGCCCGAGCCTCGCCTAGATCGCCTTGCTCCGCGGCAGCCGCCATCGCACCAGGGGAAGCTAGCCCCATGTCCGCTCCCTCGAACCGCACGTCTCCTCCTTCACCTGTCCGCACTCCAAGGCGAACGTCACTGCCCCCTCCCCCGCCGGTCCGTACGCCGAAGCTGACCCCCTCTGCGGAAGCGTTGTCCTGGAAGACAAAAAACAAATGGTAGTCCCGTGTCATTCTTGCAAAAATACAAGTCATGTCGAGCCAGGAAATGAAAACGAAGGCCGGAAGGGAGGAACGGAACTAGCTTGTAGGTCCTACAGCTGGGAGGAGACAAAAAGAGAACGTTCTCCTGAAAACGCCACTTGGGCAGAAAGATGCCCACGCCTGCGGTCTTACTTGTAGCAGCGGTGGGCCAAACGTGGGAATTGAAAAGATTCCTCGACACAAGCAGCAGAGCCTTGTCTTTTCGAGAAGCGAAGCGACAGTGTCGCCTTCTCTGTGAGGTGGACGACGACCTGCACGGCTAAGAGTGCCGTGAGCGATAGATGTAACGTGAATTGTGAAAACATGCCAGCCCTACATAAAACGCATCACTTTTCAACACGCAGCTCTGTTGACACCGACTTCAAGCAAAAAGACAGCTGGACGTACGCGGAAAAAAGGCAACCGGAAACAGAGCACCCCAAACTCTCTTGTCAAAAATGATTCATCGAACGCGGAACAGTGCCGCGTCGGGGTTACAAAGCGTGGTCTAGATAAAGGAAGAAAATACTTTAAAAAAGGGGGAAGTCGAGCCGTCGAACGAGCCACCATCCCACCCCTGGTTTTGCAAACATTTTGCCGTTCGTCGTCCGGGCGCTGCAAAGGATTTCACGCGAGGCCTGAAAGGGCTACGCCCACGCGTTATATCATGACCAATGCGCCCCCACCCCTAGGCTATTGTCGTCCTTACCGGGTAGGGTGATTGAGGGCCGTGGTGCTGTCCTACTCCGCTACTGCAACCGTTGTCATTGTCGGCTAGAGCCGCCAGAGCCATCCACGGCTTCTTCGGTCGGGCGAGCGTTAGGGGCGGGAAGTAGTACTCGTCATCGTCATCATCCTGTTGAAATGGAAGATTGGAAAGGGGAAGGCCATGCGAGGGGGGAGGGGAGGGCGGATAAGGGCGAGAAAGGGTTGCTCTGTTTTGGCAAGGATGCTTGCTGGCGGTGATTGTCCTGTTTGCGAAGTTCATCTTCACCTCATGGAAGCACTGTACGCGTGCCTAGCATCTCCACTTTCGCCACGAATTCAAAGGTAAGGACCTTATTTCCGCCATCAATCCCATGCATGCTGCGGGAAAAACATCCCGCACTGCTACATACATACACCGCCGTGTCGATAAAACAAATAATCGTGCAAAGTTCGCCCTTCGCACAATTCTCCCATTGTCATATTTGAGAGCTAAGCAAACGATGCCGAACTATGCTTGACTACCAACTCTAGTAAGACCGCACGACTTCCTTTAATGATTCACGGCCAGCATGAAAGAGAGAACGGACACGGGAGAGGGGCAACGAGTCGAAACCCTATTGCACCAGGCACATCGAACTTAGACGCAGACGGCAGCAAGAGCTATCGATTGCGTCTGATCCCGTCTAGGCCTACACACAAGGTCAGGGAAAGCAACGGACAAGCGATGTTGAAAAAAAAAACTACAACTACTACTACAACTACCGAGTGGCCGAGGCCAACACCACGACAGACCCCTCCTCCATCTCGTCCCGCCGTGCTGGACGTCATTTGTTCTGCAACAGCGGTGAACGGTCGAAGAACGCAACCCACAACACCAAGCTCTTGAATTTTCACCGCGATATTGTTGTTGTTGATGGTTGTTGTCTTCACATGAAAAACTGTTCCCATCTCTGTATCCAGTTCCTTCATTTGTCCGTACTAATCTAACAATTGACACGGTCGGTTCCCGTGGTCACAGGCTAATCAACCCTAACAGCTGTACAAAAATAAAATGGACCCGAAGGGTCCGCAACCCAGTAGAAATCGACGAGATGATCGGCCGGTGACAAAAAAAAAAACAAGAAAAAAGGCACCGGAGATGCTTGGCCACGTACGCTTATGTTCAAAAACGTTCGTGTACAAAACCCGTGAGAGTTGCCTGAGTGCTCGGACGTGCAAACACTTACCTGTTCCTCGTCGCCCAACCTGGCACTGACAGCAGCAGAGCCGTCGTCATTCCCACCATCGCTGCTTCGTGACGGCTGTCCCGATCCACCCAGTTCTCCATCTTCCTCCGCATCGCGCCGCTGCTCAGGCTGTTGGTATTTGCGTTCATGTTCGGGGGAGTCACCGAGGGCGGCGTCGCTGCCGCCGCCGCCGTTGTCGCCGCTGTCGTCGCTCCCGTTATCCCTCACCACCATCAGCATACCCTCCTCGCTGCGGTAGGTCTCGGTCACCGCGGCGGTGCCCCAGTCCTCCCTCGTGCCCGCCCTATCCCTCTCCTCCTCTTCATCGTCGTCATCATCATCGTCCGTGTCCTCGTAATGGTCTGGCTCTTCCCACAGTGCGGGGCCCCGTCGACTGCCGATACCCTCGTCCTCGCTAGCCTCGCCGTCAACCAGGGCGTCGCCGGTCGCGTGACCCACCGTTGGCCCGTCGTGCTGCTCTTCTCTCTCTGGCGCGGTCGTCCTGGCCCCTGGGGGGGGCGGGGCGGGGGTACCGAGCGCTCGCTTCAGGAGGCTCGCCAGCAGCTTGTCCGTGATGTCGTCGACTAGCCGCTCCTTGTCCTCGCTTGTTCGCGAAGGTCCCCAGAGAGAGGCCGGCGGCGCATCCTCGCCACTCGAATCGGTGGAAGCCACGCCGGTGGCCTTGGCTTTGGCTTCCTCTACCGCCGTCTCCGTACCGTACGCGGCTTCCTCGCGCGCAACAGCAACAACAGCACCATCGTCAGCGGCAAGGGGAGGACCAGAGGTGGGCTTGGTGCCCGATGCCCGGAGGCCGGAAACGCTGCCGTCGCCGTTTCCGTCCCCCGTTGAACCCACCGCAATGCTTCCGCCACCGGCACTGCCGTTCTCCGCCTCAGGTACACGCCCCTCTTCCTTAGCTTCGACGGGCGGCAAAGACGACCTTGGAGTCACGGTGTGCTCCGCATCGACACCAACTGCAGCAACAGCAGTAGCGGCGGTGGAAACGTCGCCGAAAGCGGGGATCGTGGGCCCGTCGCTTGCAACTTCGTCCGGCTGTTTCTCAGCCGACAAGGATTGCTGCTGCTGCTGCTGCTGCTGCTGCTGCTGCTGCTGCTGTTCATGTATTGGCGACGGGTCGTCCACGGCATCACCATCACTACCCCCACCGCGCCCGAAACTGTCGTGGCTGCTGTCCAGCACGGCCCCGATAGCGCCATCACCACCAACCCCTGCGACCGCCCGACCGGCTTCTTCCTCTTCTTCGCGGCCACGTCGATCACCCTGGACAGACATGCGCGAAGCGGAATAGATCTCTTGATCCTCGGAGGGCCGCGGCCGTGGCAGCAGCGGCGGCTCCCCCTCGCCGACAGCCGGCGGTCTGACGGCGTCTTCCACATGGTCGAAAGTCTCGAGATAGTCGATGCCATCCTCCGCTCGCGCCGCCACCGCGGAGAAGGGGGCCTCCGAACGGGACGACTCTTCCGCCAGCGGCTGGTCAGCATGCAGCTCGCCGGCCTGCTGCCCGACGGCGGCGTCTCCAGCGGCACCGCCACTCCCAGCGACAAAGGCACGGTACACGTTCACCTCTCGGACATCGCCACGCTCGCCCTCTGCTTCCACGGGGGCAGCAGGGGCGTCGGCCCTTGCCAGACAGGCTTCATCGCCATCGTCGTCATGGGACGAAGCTTCAACCCGAAACGACGGCTCGGCGGCAACGACCGCATCCTCGTCGAAGTCGAACCGACGCCCCGACCACGTGCTGGCGTCGTCCTCTTCGTCGCCTTCTTGGACGTCCGGCGGCACTCCTCTATCATCTCCGACAACGACAGCTTCCGCTTGCTCGTCCTGCCGATCCTCTCCCTCGTCCCAAGGAACCACGGCCTCCTCCTCGAAGTCGTAGCCTCCGGACCAAGCCCCCCCGGGCTGCTTATCGTCGCTTTCGTTCCCACTCCCAATGGCACCGGGGAGCAGCTGCACATCTCCGACCAACGCCTCTTCAGGCTCGTTTTCTCCGACACCTTCGACATCTCCGTTGCTGCCAAATCCGAGCTTCTCATCTTGATTCTCCGGCCCAGGGGAAGCGCCTTCTTCACCCCTATCGATGGAGAGGGGCCCCGGCTCTTCAACGTCAGAAGGAGTCGATATCGACAGCCGCGGAGGGCTTCCATGTGGTTGATCTACCTCGGCGCCTAGAGCCTCCGCTTCGCCGTCCAGCCCCTCGCGATCCCCCCCTTCTTGGCGTTCTCTTGCACCCTCTGGGGGCTCAGCCTTCTCGATGAACGTGTAGCCGGCATCGAACGACGTCGCTTGCCCGCCTGAGAAAACGCTGCCGTCGCTCCCGGAAACCCGTTCGGCGACGTCGGCCGCCGGCGTGGGCTCTTCGACCCGGCTGTAGTTACCGTCGGCTTCAGCCACGCCAGCAAGACCACCGTCAGCAGCCACCGCAACCGCGATCTCTCCCACCAGCGCGGACTCCGGCACGACAAGTGTACTTCCCGCGCCCTCTTCGAGGTGGCCGCTTCGGACCACCGCCGCAGCAGTCCCGTCATCGCTCTGGACCTCGACAGCACCATCCGGCGAGTGGCACCGGAGAGAGCCAGCATTATCCTCGCCCCAGACCTCCTGCCCGGGAGAAGGCAACAGAAGCCCCTGGGCCGCGCCGTTGTCCCCACCATTGTCCTCGTCGTTGGTCTCGCCGCTGGCCCCTGCCCCTTCGCGCTTCTCCTCCTCAGCAGCAGCAGCAGCAGCGGCGTCGCCGTCAGCGGCGTCGCCGTGAGTAGGCGCTGCGGCGGCTAGCCTGTACAGTAGCAGATCGTCGCCGGTCTCCTGGGGGTGCTCCTGGCGCTCGGCTGTCTCCTTATCGCGGTCATCGCTCACGCCGTCCGGCACCGTGGCCGCGACGCCGGTGACACCACCGCCAACACCCCCTCCGTTATCATAGCCACACATCCCCGGAAAGGAAGAATCAGGGTACTCAGTGGCAGCGCCGGCGCCGGCACCCATCCCGCCGTCCCGCTCACTGGACGGAGACGCGTCGAAGACAAGGGCCTGCCACGGCAACAACCCCCCACCCGCAACCGCGGCGCCGCCAGACGTCCGAGACCCGCTGGCCGGGGGTAACGCATCCTCAAGGTAGTCCCGCCCGATGGCAAACGACCCGGCTAGAGACGAGTCGTCTTGCGCCAGCAAATCCTCGGAGCACACCTCAGACACGGAGGATAACACCAACGGTCTCTCGTCCGTCCTCTCCCCCGAAGAGCTTCCGGCGTCCGCGGCAGCATCATGGCCTCCGCGTCCGATACCGCCGTCGTAGTCGTGGTGGGCACCGTCACCGGGAGCGGGGAGTTCCACCACCGGACTCCCGCCTCCTGCTTTGTCGTCGTCATTGTCGCCTTTCTCGAGGTCTGTGCGGTCTTCCTCGAATGATTCACTGTAGGCGTCGTCGTCGTCGTCGTCGTCCGCGCAAGAATCGTAGCTGCCGGTGGCGACGCCGCCGCTGCCGCCGTGCGGAGGCCGCAGGAAATTCGAGCCTCCCGCGGTTGCCGCCGTAGGGGCTACCGAACCCTCTTCGACCGAGGTCCCTTCCGCCAACGGCACCATCGAGTCGGTACACGACGGCTCGGCGGAGTCGCCTCTCTCGGCGACGGCTGAGTCATCAGCATCGCCCACGGGCGCGGCGACCGCGGCAACAACTTCCGACGACAGACCGTCCTCGGCACGTGCTGCGGCGGCGAGACTGTTGCGTTCCCGGCCCGCCGCACCGGCAGCAACGACAACAGCGTCTTCCACGTCCTCGAACCCGAAAGCTTCCAGCCCGTAGCCGTGGGCGAGACTGTCGGAGCCATGCCCGCACTTCTCCTCCACCGGCGGCAACGCCTCCTCGACATGGTCGTAGTCGCGCAGCACCGACGCGTCAACCGGGCTCCCGGCACGAGCGTTCGCCGCCGTCGGGCTCGCTCCGAGCTTGTCCCCTTGCCCGGCCGTGGCGTCACCACCACCATCGTCCGTCGCCGACCCGGCTAGGGTAGTAACAGTCGCTAACGGAGGAAGCGCGTCAAGCTCACCCTCCGCCGCCGGTGCGTCCTCAACCTCCTCTGCGGCACTCTCTTCCAGAATCTCCTCCGCTATCGACGCGCTCGAACCATCACCATCATCGCCACCCTCCTCACGGGATGCCCATTGAACGGAAGGACCCTGGGTCGGCTCTGCTTCCCGCTCTTCCCGGGTCCCCGGAGAACGCACCGGTTCTTGGGGGTCTCGGGTGTGGGTCAAGGCTGCCACCCCCGCCGTGACGGCAGCCTCTTCCTCTTCTTTCGCGATTTCCGACAGACGCGCGTGCTCGTGCTCGTACGCCGCTATCTCTCTCGTGCTTCTCTCCGTCTGCGCGAGGAAGCGCCAAGGAGGAGGATGTGCCCGGAAAAGGGCGTGGGTCATCAGGGAAAGGGGGGAGTTGGGGGGGGGGGGGGGGGG